ATAAACCTCAATACCCCGTCCGGTATGAGGGTGAAACGGGCCGTCCCCATACCCCGTCCGGTATGGGCGCCAAAACCGTAAGATCTCCATACCCCGTCCGGCATGTGAGACCACAATCCCGGTAGGATTCCCTACGGACCCGGTCCGTCCACCATCTCCCAGGATATCTAGTCAGGCTGACCCCCATAATACAATTATCAGTCTACACAATCTTTCATTTTCCTTTTCCTCAGTCAGCATCATCAATTCACATACAAACAAGCAAAACAGTAATTCATGCCAAACAGACAACATACAGTTTCAGTTTTTCAGTCATTCAACCCATGATTAATAAAAACGTAATATATGCACACAAATCTGTAAAATGAACACATCAAACCTCATTTTGCATTTAAAGCTGTAAACAGGCCAAATAACAGTAAATCACCAATCACACTAGACTCGGGCTCCATTAGCCACCTTAAGCAATTTCACACATTCGTTAATTCAAGAAATACCGTTTTATCATTTTGAACTTTAATACCGTGATAGGAAATAGGGTGAGGGGTCCTTACTTGTTTTCGGGATCCGAATACGATTCACAGTGCGCCTGCAGGCCGTCCCTAATTTTCCCTGAATTTTTTTCGGGGAACTGAAACACACTAACAGTACCTGCACGTGTTCCAAAAAAAATCCAAATTAGGCCCAAGGCCTCTTTCGGCCCAAATCGCAACTCCGGCACGGCGGCTCCGCTGTGCTCCGGCGACGGCGCCAGCGGCGAGTCGCCTCGGGTTGGCTGTTTTCGGCCGAATTCGGCCACACTCGCATTGGTCCTTGTCAGAAAACAACCCTAGGGCCCTCGGGGGGCCAAAAAATCACGGAAAAGCGGAGCTTACCGGCGGCGGCGCTCTCGGGTACGGCGGCTCTCCGGCGAGGTTCGTGTTTTGGTGATTCGGCTTCGGTCAACCTGTAGAGAAAAGAATGGTGATCACGGTGATATAAAAATTGCATCGAACGGAGGCCGGGAAGGACCTCGTCGGAGGCAAAAACCGAGAGGGGGCGCGGCGGCGCCGCTGGGTTTCGGCCGCGTATTCCGGCCGTTTGGCCGGGATTTCGGCCTCAATTTGGCCATAGGAGGAATCAGCGGGGAAAAACGAGTCGGGGGTATGAAATTTACCTCGATCGGCGGTCGAAAATTTCCCCGGTGCGGCGGCGGGTGGCGGCGGTCGGCCTCTGGTTCGTCTTCTCCGGCGAGCGGCGGGCGGCTAGGGTTTGTGGTCTGGTGTGGGGGTTCTATTTATAACCCCTTACCTTTTGATCACAGCCGTTCATTTCGTTTTAATCTGGGCCGTTCGTTTTGATTGAATCTGGGCCGTCCGATCGCGCGATTGATCTGGGCCGTCGGATCGCACCCATGCGGATCGCCAACGTGGCTCCTTTCGGAGTGACGCGGTCTTGCCACGTGGCAGGCCCCGGTTGGCCGGGACTGCTGACCGGGCCTGCTGACGTGGCCCCCCCCCCCCCCCTTTTTTTTTTTTTTTTTTTCCTCCTTTCCGGGTGCTACAACTTCATTAATGTTACTCAAGAAATTTGAAAAAGAAAAAATAGAGGTGGTGAGGCTATCTATCAATATTCATTGATCAATAACTTGATGCTAAGTAAGAGTCAAGTTCGGCCAGATTTTAGAAGGTTAAACCTAAATTCATCTTACCTACCTCTTTTTTTTTCTGTCAATCCACACTCAGTCTAACTCAAACCTACATTTTGATGAAAAAATATAACATTAATTTGTATTTAAACGAGTCAAATTGTATGAATTGAGGTACAAAATAGTTATTCAAATCTATAAAATATGTCAAATTTGTTGAAAAAAAAATTCATTCAAAGTCTATAAATATATGAATTTTAGCAAATTTTTTTAAAATTTTTACCCCGCATCAATTCGTAAATCCATAAGGAGAAAAAGTGCATAATTTTATAACAAAGGTTCACAAAATCACCAATGACCTCAACTTGTTTCCATCCTTAAAATTACCAAATTGTTAACATAAAAGTTTAGTGTCACCTTAACAAACTTGCAATGTGAAGCAAAATATCAGTACGTTATTTGAAAATGTCTTACAAGTTGGAGCATCTTTTTTATGATAATAAATTTTATAATTTAATAAGCCGTAGATTTTCCAGCTACCGCGTTGAATAAAAAAGCACATAAAAAGAACAAGGGTGGAATAGAAGAAAGTATTTTTACCAAGTTGATGCCAAGCCTTGCCCGTACATTGGGACCAGTGTGTCCATAATGCATTGAAATTTATAATATAATAAAATACTTTTTATGTATAAAACAAAAAATAAATATATGCCTATACATATACCTATATATATATATATATATATACACACACACATATGTATATGTGTATGTATGCTTTTAGATGATTGCTAAATGCACGGCTTGACACGAGAAGCATAAGGTGGCAAGACATGCACTCGTCATTAATAATGACGGATGTACTTGTGAACAGAAAAAAAAGAAAAAAAAAAAAAAAAGAGTTTTAAATTTGATCAACTCCATTTTAGTGTACATGTTCTTTTTAAAAGTACCTAAAATAACATTCTCGTGTATATATATATATGTGTGTGTGTATTACATTATTGATATTAATTAATACATAAGTGTATTTATTAAAATTATATATAAGGAATTGTATTACCTTATGTGTATAGAGATTTTTATAACTTTGCTTAAATAAGTGTATTAAACATTGTTTTCCATTTAATATCAAAATTTAACAAAAATTTTCTATTAAGAACGTATAAAAGAGAATTTATCGATTAAAGAAAAATTACTTCTTATGAAGATATAATTTTCTTTTTATCCTTTTTTTTTTACATTTTAAATATATTTTTTACTAATTTTATTTAACTAAATAAAGAACAAAAAACAAAATGTATGAAAGTTCCAGAATACGATATTTTATAGGAAATAAAATAAATTTAAAAATTGAATCTTAATAAAATTAACATACTCATATTAAATTAAAAGAATTTAAAACTGAATTGAAAATGTATCTGAATTCACAGTAGAAGAAAAATACATGTCATGCGATAGATATTTTATATTATCACGTAGTTATTTTGAATTCTTTACTCTCTCTATTTCTAACTATGAGATATCATAATAATAAAATTTTATGTGTAATGTGAAAATTATAACCGCATATTTATAAGTAAATATATCTGTCAATTTTTTTATTTCTATTTTAACCCATCAATTATAAATTTAATCTCTATATAAAAAAAAAATCATTTTAATTTGATACATTAAAGTCTCTTAATCGTATTAGATCATTTTTAATCGAACCCAATTAATTTGATAATTTTTTATGCATAGTAATTTACACATACGGTAAATTAAAACTCAACATATTTATTATATTTGTGTTCCATTTCAACAAGTGAAATTATTTATATGGTACAATGAATTTCACATACATAATTTTTGCTTTTCAAATAATTATGTAATAATATATAAATTTTGTTTTTATATATGTATTTAATAGATTTTTTTTGAACAAATCAAATAAAAAGTTATATTACAATTTAATTATAACCCATGATACTACTAAACTAAACATTGTTATGCAATTCTCATAAATTATTACTGAACCATTAAAATATGATTTTGATAAGTTTTAAATACAAAAAATAGAAATATTAGATTTAAAAAATAATTTCTACTTTCAATATTTTTTTCTAATATCACCATTAATTAAATTAAAAAAAAAATGACATATTTTTAGTTCTTTCCCTTCGTCCAGCAATTGCGGCTGCCATTTTTCATCTGTCGCTACCGTAACTGTCGTCCGCCGCTTGCCACTGTTGTCCGTTGTCGCCTCCATTGTTATTCAGTGCTACCTTCATACAGTGTTCGTACGGTAACATATTAATTAACCCTTTTTACTGAGTATATATGTCAAGTATATTGTGTGTATATATATATATATATATATATAAAAAGTATAATATAATAGTAGGTACGGTATTTATAATATGACTATAAAATTAATAATTTAAATTAAATTTGTCCGTCCTTTATGTTATTTTAATATTCACAATTATTTTAACAAAATATACAACTTTTATTTTATAAATTAACATTTCTTATGATTATTTGTATTAAATAAATAATAACTTTTTATCTAAAATATTTTACTAAAAATATTATATTTGGAGATTGCTCTGTAGTTGGTAGGCACATGGCACTATAGTAGCCATGAGATCTGCGGGCACTGATGAGCCTGAAGAGAGAGAGAGAGAGAGAGAGAGAGACCGAAGGGGAAGACGCCCAATACAATCATTAACTTATCAACAAACTTCTCGTATTCGTGCGTTTATTTTTACTCAGTTAAATTCTACCGTAAGAATTAGGATGAAAACATGGTGGTGTTTGGGGATTGAGAGAAACAAATAGAGAAGGAAGAGACACTGTAGGAAATTCGTAGGAAGAGATAAATAGAATTTTGTTATCACTAATTAATGAGTCTTTTTTTTAATAATTTGTATTATTCAATTTGTACGAATCAATCAAAATGTAATCACATATGTATAAATTTAACACTGATATTTAATTTAACCGTATTAATAATTTGTAATTTGGGAAGATTAAGTTAAATTTTTTTTATTAATTTAAATAAAAATAAATAGTATAAAAAAATTAAATTATTATTTTAGTTATTTAAAAAGTTTAAATTTTTGTTTATTTTATAAAATTTACTTAAAAAGTATTAATTTTCATTATTTAAATAAAAAAAAAAAAAAAAAAAGAGAGACAGAGAAAAAGAAGAAAGGAAGGAAAATATAGGATTAACAGAGCATCTTTGGCTTATTGGGAATATCTAGACGAGAGAGATAAAGCAAAGCAAAACTGTTTACTGTTATAATTTTGTAATAAAGAAAAGCAGTCAGTGACTTAACAGAGACGAAGCGGAGATTTTCAGGTAAGCAAAACATTCTTTGAATTGAATAGCTTTTCTTGTGGGTCATCTCTGCATGCTCTTGACCATCCAAAGATCCCAAACTTGTCTCTCTTTACTCTTCACACTCCATTAAAGCAAACCCAAAAAAGAAAAGCATTCTCTCCACCCAAACCTGCAAACCCATCATTTCATCTCTTATTTTTTTTTAAACCCAAAACCGCCTTTCACTCCTATTTTTTTTCACAAATGCACCAAACTAAATTTCAAGTATTCACTTCTTTACCTTCTCAACATACAAACGATTTCTAATGGCTAAGCGTGTTTTCCAAGTTTGGAAGGGACGCAATGTATGCTGCTGTGCTGCTAGCTTCTATTATCTATCTGTTCTTTTTTTTTTTTTTTTAATATTGATGAAGTTTCTTTACTTAATAGAATTTGATCTGGTTCTCATTGAGGATGTTGTATGATATTATATTGGCATAGTTGCATTTTGTCTTCTTTTAGTTGTTGCTTGCCTGATAATCTTAGTATTTTTGGTAGGCTTCTGTGGAATTGTGTAAGGTATGATTTGCTGGTCTTTCCCATCTTGGTTTTCTTAACTCTGTGAAATTTGATCCGGGTTCTCTTTTATTTCTATAATCTGCTCCAGTGAAGCGACTTTCTCCGTCGCCCTTTATTGAGAGATAACTGAGAGAAATTTCTGTGTCATTGTTGAAGAGATTGATAGAAACGAAATTACATTTCTATCCTAATTAGTCATGTTAATTTGGTTTTGGCAAGTAGAAATGAAGTTTAAGAAAGCTAATGGCTGTGCGGGGGATGATTCTTGCTTATTTAACAGTTTAAAGCCAATAAACTTTTCTCTTTTTCATTTTTTTGTCCCCAGTTAATAGGGTTAGCAGACTGGAAGACTGTTAGGGTAGACACTGATGCTTCTATTTTTACATAAAGCATGATATGTTACCTGTTATATTGTAGTAGCATGCAGCCCTTCATAAATCTACATTGCCATTTTCATGTTTTAAGTTATATTTCATTGCAATTATTTTGATTAGAGGAGGGCTTTGGCTTGGGAAATTTTAGCCCTTTTTCTGTTCCTCTTAGTCCTAATTTTGAGAAATAAGCATCTCTATTTTTCTGTTAGTCTCAAACAATATCTTTTTTCTCTGCTTCCATTACAAAAAGCTTTTTTATAAAATATAAAGTTTCAAGCTATCAGTTTGATATTGTAGTACTCAATGTTAATAAAAATTTGATAAACTTCTAAATAGAAGCTAGAACAATAAAGTCACAAAAGAAACTTCGTAATAAGTTTGGTTAGGAAATAACTTGTTCAGAACTACATTTATGAAATGCAACACGAGCACTGCAAGGCATTACAGAAATGCATTTTTTTTTTATGATGACTTATTATTATGACTGAAATTGTATCCTCGGTGTTCACTTGTTATTAATGTTTTAATGGTACGGATTCCTATATTGTTTATCTAGCACTCAGATTAATACAGTTTTCTGATATTTATTCATCGCATTAATATGGCATTTATTAATTCAGTGGATTTTATGGAATGGGGATTAGAATTTTAATGGATCAGCACAAGGAATGTACTTAATAGCATCCTGAGTTTAAATAGAGTACCAATGTTTCTAAAGTCTTATTTCAATTCAATTCAATAAAAGAAGTATCTTTATTTGGATTGCTTCTTCCTCTCATTAATCAGTATGAAGGGTAGGAAAATAATTATAATGCGTATACCACTTCCAATATGTTTTTTCTTCTTTGAAAGAAAAGTATACCACTTCAAATTGGTACATACTGACATTGAAGACATGAGGCCTCAATGATGAAATATAACTTTTCAAGTACAATAAACAATTTCCAGGTAGGCGCAAGTGCATGATTACACTGAAATTGTAGTGGATTAAATGAGTATTTGTTTGGAATAGTGGAAGCATGACATTTGATCATTTTCAACAGGCTTTTTAAGTGTTAAGAGGAATATATATAAATATGGTCTTTTTATGGTCCAAGTGTTAATTATCTTTGAAGTTCTAACTATGAATATCATGAAGAAATACAGAAGGATGATCTTTTATTCCGTTGCAATGGCTCTTAATGTTTTTTATAGTTGGAAAACCCCATTTCTCTTGCTTCTGTGGTCACTGTTTTTTCAATTTTACTTTGATCTCCATCTACTGTTTTCTCAATTATCCACTGGCATCACTATGCAGAAATTCATCTGTGGTGGAAGGCTTATTTTTGGTCCAGATGCTAGGTCACTGGTTGTTACTTTTCTTCTTATCGTAGTTCCTATTATTATCTTTTGTGCACATGTTGCAAAGAACCTTCTCGGTGAATTTTCATCATATAATGCAGGCTATGCAGTCATGCTGGTGGCGATTATCTTCACAATCTATGTGAGTTCTCATTGTTCTTCTTGTTGCCTTTGTTTTCCTTCTTTAGCATTATGAAAACTTAGGATCGTTTATCAAGGAGTTATATCTGTTTGGATAGCTGTTCCCAGCTTACCCTAAAAGGAGCAAATATGAAATCATAAGTACACTAAAATGGTTTTAAGATGGAAGGATAAACTTTTTAACATCTGACCTTGCTACCTTTCACTTTCAAGAAACCTAAGTTAGTCTCCTGATTTATAGGACCTTTAGTTTATTAACTTATTCCGTTGTCATTTCTTCTCTTGTTTGTTGAATGCAAGAATTAGTGCTCTGCTTTTTTATTATTTATTTGATTTGGTTGTTTCCCGGTGACTATTTAAGTGAAACCCTGGATTGTTTCCCCTTGCTGCTTCTCTAGCTTGTTCATTTTTTGACACAACACGCTCCCTCCTCCCTTCCCCACCTCCCCCCAACCCAGGCCCCCGCCCCCCACCAAGGGAACCTGCAATCAAGCTATGAGAGGGACTATCATATTCTCTGCTCTCGTTTGTTTATTTGTTTATTTTGGTTGTTTCTTTGCGACCTTTTAAATGTAAGGCCTGAATTGTTTATGATAGGTGTTGGTGTTGCTTCTTCTTACTTCATCTCGAAATCCAAAAATTATTCCACGTATTTCACTTCTCCTGAGGAATCTATTTTGT